CTGATTCACTAGGTACGTCAAAAAACGAAACCTTTAAATCTCCAATATTTTCAAGCTTGGATGACTGACTTAGCTGATTAGAAGCTTGACCACCCGATGGCCCACAAGGCGAATTCGGAGGTAACACTCTTTCTGCTTTTTTCACTTTTTGCGACTTGTACCACTGTAAAAAAAATGATCCATCAATAAAATGTCAAAAAAATCCTCTGTTAAGCCCATACATGACATGAGAGTAACATGACGAACAAGAGTATAGATTGCTTCTTTATTCATATACTACCTTGAGAAGATAGTCATTACTTGAATCTTCAGGGATTTTCCACTTTCCCTTAACACGTTGAGGTTCGGCTGTGGAATATGAACATTTGGTCCACTCTGATAAAAACCCACCGCATCTATATAAGCCTGAGGAGTACCGGAGCCACCCGGAACACATGGGGCATTTTGCAAGTGCCCCAAAGAACATCCCATCAACACTACATAAACGATAAGAGAGAAAACATGAACCTTAAAAAAGAAAAATATGGAACCAAAATGCATGTTAATTACATGTTTAGTTAATGTTTTCAGACTTCAACCAGGTAATGACCGGAATGTGTGTTGGGTTACTCGGTCCATTGCATAACTGGATAATTAATATTAAAAATCTAAAATTATCTAGATACTATTTTTACTCGGAAGATATACAAAAAAATAACAAAAATAAATAATTGAAAATGTTTGAGAGACTAAATAATGCATAACCACAATACAGTGGAAAACCTCAAAGGAAAAGCTAACATATAGACAAAATAACAAAATCCTGGCAACTGAAAAACACATGTACTGTCATCTTATATTACATAACATAAACTGAAAACACATGTACTTTCATCTTATGTTACATAACATAACAAAATCTGACACCATGCAAAAATGACTCATATTTACCAAAGCAAATTACTTGAAAGTGGTTTTCCATGATCCGGATATTATTATAAAAGAAAATCTGAAACACTACCAGCATTCTCGTAGATCAAGTTCAGACCCTCTCGAGTCTTGTTCATTTGCCTCGAGCATCTCTCTCAACTCCGAAGTACTAACATACTTTTTAAGATCATCTTTTAGGGCCCATAATGCTCTCGTCTGCTTTTCCAGTTGGCTTTCCAGGTCAGATGCTTTCGATTTTCCATCTTCCAACTGTTTAATCTTGTTTGAAGAAGTATCCCCACTAGCTTTAGAAATTTTTGCTTTCGAATTACTTTCATCAGCTCTTTTCCTCTTAGGGCCATCTTTAGGTATTGATTCTTCGTACAATACTTCTTTGCCTGAAACCAAAAAATAAATAAACAAATAAAAAATGTGTGATTGAACTTAGTGTAATAACTATACCAGTCACTCCAACTAAAAAGAAAAAAAATCATACCTTTTGATTGGGAAGGATTCTTTTTTCCGAATGAAAGAAGAGCAGCACGATCGGTGTCTGAAAGTGAGCTCCATCCAGAAAATTTATCGACTGCAGAACTTGGTGACGACTCCAGGTAACATTTGGCGTGATTCCAGGAAAGTGATCTGGCACCTTGACCTTCAGGTTTGGTTGATATGCGAATCTAACAAAGAAAATGATTTAATGTAGGATAAAAAAAATGATGTTACTTCCAGTAAACACCTTGGATGGAGGAAAACAGAGAAAGTACAAAATATCATAATTATTCAATTCCGCAACAGTTTAATTTTAACAGTCCAACAAGATGAAACAAATGCAAACAACTAGTTTCACATGGGAAGATAAGGATACAAAAAAAGAAAAAAAAAATGTAGTTCTTAAGAATAAACGCAAGGCCAATAGAAATTTTAACCAAAACCAATTTAGCATACAAACCTTGTAATCATTATCCATTAGATCTGATCAGTAACAGATAGTGATCAGGAAAGGATTTTCCTGAATTTATCTTTCAGAAGTGAAAAACAACTGCTGGCACCACAACATATCTTCCATGTAAGTGCTTTTTTTCACTCACAGAAACCAAGAGGAATGCTTACTGATTTCAAACACTGGATAAGAAAACAGCTAAGCTACTCTTAAGTTACAATCTCAACCAAAATTTTTCGAGATTAGTACCTCTCCCTTCATAATTTTTTGGTTGCAAATCCTACAAGTAGCACGAGACGTTTGCGAAATCTCAACACCACATTCTAACTCAGTGGGAATAGAAGGAGTAGAGGACACAGCACTATCATCAACATATTTCCTTATTTTCTGCTGATCTTCCCAACGAAGCAGTTCTAAGCCTTCAACATCATCGACCCTGTAATTGACAAGTACATGAATAACAAAAATGATTTGAAAATAATTCTCTGCCTTTTAATTCGGCAATGATGTAAAAATGTCATATATTTTGAGAGACATACGATTTTATTTGCTTTGCTTTCCTCATGATGCATGCTGCATGGTTCCACATCTGGCTCCATTAATAAACTTACATCAGGTGGCGTGAGAGTGAGACAAATAGACTATTCTTTTCTAATGTAGCAAAGAACAACTATGAAATAAAAGTGAAATAGGAGTTCAAAGAATCTAGGCCATAATTAGTAATATTATGTCAAAAATTATCAGAGGCAATTTGCAAAGTTTCTGAAAAAGAATGATGACAAAGGTGTCGATGTTAATGTAACGGTTGGGAGAACTAAGAATTCTTAATGCTCATGAATCAAGTGTGACTGCATATAAAGGAAACTGAACTTACATTGTCCCGAATGTTAAAGAGAAAACATATGTATGACAAAAAAAAAAAAAGAATGGAAACCTTTGGTCTTGGTAAGAAACATTAGAAAAACAACAGACTGTCCTCAAATCACGTTAAATCTCAAAGGGCACTCGAAAGTCGAAACCTGGACAATTTGCTGAAGAAATGCAGAGCAAATCAAGAACCCACATTGAACTGAACTCAATAAAAGGAAAGAATAGAGCAAAAAGAGTAGGCCTTTAGGAAACCATCAAGAATTTTATCAATTGTTAACATCTCATGCCAAGCAAACAAATATCAAGAAAGCTTGTACTCTTCCCACACTGGGCACTCTGCATCACCAAAGGCAAATCAATGAATGCAAATAAGGTCAAAAACCTATTAATCAAAGCAAAAAAACAAAGAACCCACATTGTTCAATACAGCAAATAAAGGAAAAAGGGACAACAAAAAACAAAAATGGAACAAGGGTTTCGTCAATAAACACCAATAATCAGCAAAAAACCGTACAAAACTGCGATAGGACAACAAAAAAAAAAAATGGGAAAATTACAGGCATGAAACCGTCGAATTGGGTGGCTTGGACCATCTTCCCAAGCCTTAAATTTTCCTTATCAATGGAATTTTTGCAAGTCTTGCACGAAGATCTTGATGACTTCGCGTACTCCACTTTCCATGGCTTTGGAGGGTTCGCCATTTTTTCCCCCCTTTTGCGAAAAAAGCAGACCTTTTTGTGTGGTTTCTCTTTTTACAGAGTTACAGCAAACACTATGTTGTGAGTGTCTGTATGAAAACGTGGGTTTGAGAGGAGTTGTTTAAAGTTCAACTCTTCGATGGAGGCAGGATTGTACTGCTGCGGAATTGAAAAATTAAAGAAAAAAAAAAATAATAAGAATAAATTA